TGAGAACCTGGCGTCCCAGCTGGGCCAGCGCCACAATGCGCCACATCCAAGGCCCTTGTCAGGTTTCAAATCCGCCACCGATCGTTTCGCAGACCTGGTGCGGGGCCTTGGGTCCTGCTTCCGGCGGGTGGATGGCATGGCCACATGCCCAGACTAGGGTTGAATCTCACATATTCGTGCACTGATATACGCACACACATATGTGTATATATATAATTATATCTAATTATATATGATATATAGTATAAATAAATAGATAAATAGATATATATATATAATATATATATTATATGCAGTGCATATCTGTTCATGCGTATGCTTACGCAAAAAAAATATGTTGGGGTTGCATCTTCACGGAAACACAGATCATCCCACAGATGTTGCTCCCTTTTTTGGCCGGGGCTGAGCCCCTCTGGCAGTGGCTCTTGGCTTTCCAAAGAGCTGAAGGGTATCCCTTCAACATTTGTTCCGACTTTTCAGCCCCATGACGGTGCATTTCTTTTGTACCCATTTTTTCAGTTTAATCAACACGGCAAAAACTAGGTGAATGATGAAGGATACAAAGACAAATGGCTAACCCACTACATGTCACAATCCCTACTAGTAGCCTATGTAGCTAAATCATGTAAAACAAGAATTTTCAAATAGGTTGACAACATGGTATCCCAGTATTATCCCAATATTATCGCAGTCACCAAGCCCCCCAAAACGGCTACTTTCCACTCCTCCACTAGTCGGTAGGGAATGGTTTGAAGCTATGGGTGCAATTTTCCCAAAATGGGGAGCCAGCTTGCAATAGACACATATGTATATATATAATTATACATATTGTATACGCACATATTATATATAATATATATTTGTTATATTATACATATATACATACATATATGTATAATATAACAAATAATATATACATATTTGTTATATACACAATATTTATATATAGATACAATGATACACACACATATATATAATCACATTTATTTATATAGATAGTTATACATATATCATACCCCGGTTATGTATTGGGTTACATGTAGATTAGCCATGCGCCATGCGCGCCTTTCCAGGACAACTTGCACGGCCCCGGTCCTGGCAGCTACGGCAGCGGCGCGTCAAGCTTCCTGGGAGAGAAGCGACGCCGGGCGCGGAGCGTGCCGGACTTCATGTCCAGGATGGGATGGGAAGGCACTAAGGCACCAGGTGGGGAGGGATTTAACCAAGAAATACTACATATCAATCATATAAATCACGTATGCATATATATATAAAAATACATACTGTAGGTGTATGTATAAATTCTTTCTATCTATCTATCTATATATATATATGTATAATTATTACTGTGCAAACTACTGACCTTCCCATCTCACTTGTCCAAATATGGGGATTCATGTGGGTAAACCATAGTAAACTGACCCCCCAATCGCCATTTGTATAGGTGGTATAAGCCATTCCCAAATGGGTGGCTCTTTATTGTTTTACACACATTAATGGAATTTGTTGCTACTGTTAGTTTCAATAGATTAGTGGGGTTTCATTTTTTGGTTTTCATCATGATTATTGGGGATTGAACCAAGAAACATGGTGGTATAATATGGGGAATGGGGTGTAGGTACTGTAACTCGCATCCGTATTTTGAACAAGAACCCGTTTCTTTAATGCGAGGTATGATGACAAGCAGATCAGATCATGGATCTATCAAGATCTATGATGATCTATGACGGTCTATGATAAATGGATGTTGTTTGTGATTGTCTAAGGTGAAATTTTGCTGGACACTCCATGTTCTTTGCCAGTCAATTTCATGGTGGTTTCCGGTTGACAGGTTCCTTCTTGAAAAGGATTATCTTTTGTAAATCATAGGGGCAAGAGGCTCTTGGTGATATTGAGGTGTATCTGAAGAAGATAGAAATGCATTTGTATCGATTCGTGGGGATAGAGATGCAGTGCAGGACGTTAGTCATAAGGTTCAATTGCCATGTTTGATTGCTAGAGGGTAGGTCTTTCCTTGTCCCCCCCCGGCAGTCCCGCCAACCAGAGACGTCCGGACGTCCGACTGCTTGGTTGATCTGTAGATGGCGCAACAACTGTGTTATCATCATTCACACTATTGGCATGACCAAAGAAATGGCCCGAAAAAAACGAAGAAAAAACATGTTTTCTTCAGAAACCACTATGATATTACCATAATATAGCCATATTACCATTGTTGCCATTCTTTTTGATCTAATGTAACAATATATTACCATGCATAATTACATTACTATATATTACATTAGAAATGGTGGAGTGTGGTGGGGATGAAATGGTGATTACCATATATAATTACCATTATATATATATGTATAGTAATGAGAATGGTAATATATATATATATGAATATAAGAATTAGTTATGATAATATAAATGGCTAATCACCATCTCATGATTTACATTACCATTAATATAATTACCATATATTACCATATAATTATCATATATTACAAAAAGATATTGCCATTACTATTATTATATTATCTATTCTTTTCAGTTGTCATTATATTACCATTACGATTACCATCTTTTACATTATTTTTGCCAAGAAAATCATGAGGTTCTCCACGGGAACGCAGGAAATACTTCGGAGTGCATCCGCAGCAACTTCGATCCCTCCGAGAGACCGTGCCCTGGATGCCCTGGAAATGGGAAACGGTTGAAGCCACTCAAAGGGCTTCGGCTTGGGGATTTCGCCAACTAAACATCTCCAAAAGCATGGTATTTATATGTATTTTATGATATATATATATTTATCCAACATATTTTTTTAAAGCAACAAAACTGAGACTCGACATGATTTCTGGTATATTTTTGTGGCGGGGTAATATTTTTTGCTGTATCTATTTGAGGGCCATAGGGAGATATAGCTGGTTCAGATGATAGGGGATAAACATGATCTACCAACCAACACGCCGGGATCACGGAACAATGATGACTAGGAGCAACTTGAAGCACTATTTTTGATGGCTAAATCTAGATTTTGGGTGAGTCATATCCCAATTGTCCTAAATATTCCAAGCTCTTCTTGGCCAAAAAAGAAAAGCTAAATCTTATAATTATAGGTGTTTATGGTGTAAAGTAAAATCAATTTTTTTTTCATAAAATCCATTTTTTTTTCATGCAGAAACAGGTTGATCTTCCATGGCGTTTCCTCGTGTACGCCGAGGATGGTGTCCGACTGGCTGGCTTCGACTGCAGTGGCCCACAGAGGCCTTCCGTGCCCAGCAACTCCGGTGCTGCGCCGGGCAGTTACAACCCGGAGGAATGCATGTGAACCTTGACCTGAGCTGTTGGTTGATGATTCTATGGATTATACTACCATATACTACCGTTTATGTATTGGGGATTATCATGATCAATTATATATGGGAATCTATATTCACCACTGCTCACTTGAAGTTGGGGATTTGAAACATGGGGGTTTAAAACCAAGAGAAAACTGTAGTTTCAACGGTGGGTCTGCGTTGGTGAATGAGATCATTTTCGCATACAACTGGGGGATCGTAGGCTTGGTGAGTGGTAGGTGGGCTGGTTTCTCAAGGCTCAGCCTACGAAAATGAGGAGATTTCACCGAGAATCAACGGACATTCTCCAGAAATCTCCGGGGTGTTGAGGGCAATGCACTTTGTCCCAGCATGGATGTACCCATGGCGCGTTCATCCGCAAAGCTGAGTCACCATGGGTGGAAAACTATGGCTTAATCCACAAAGAAGTTACAGACACCAGCGCTACGTACACCTCGCTTAAACTGACTTCATGTTGGTGAAGGATCCCCCCCAAGAATGGCCAATAGAAACAGTCCAACACCTCGTTTTTAGTCGGAGATCTCTGGCTACAAAGCCCGGCCCCAAAGGTCCCCAATTCCTGGTGTCCCGTTCATACCCCAGTCGCTGCTTGCTTACCAACTGGGACAGTCCTCCAAGTCATAAAATATCAGTGCCTCGTCAGGATGATCCTTCAACTTCAGGTCCTCCAAATCTGCATACCGGTTTGCCACAATATATTTTTCGATTTGTTTCCTACATCTTGATCTTTTCCTTCCATTTTTGAGTTGTCCTCTATATTGTTTTCCTTGATTTTTCATATGTTTCACATCTTCCCCATCGTTTTTGTTGGGCTTTCTATGGCAAATGCCAGGGTTTTTCATCCAGTTTGTTGCGGCTCACTGAGGCCAATCCATCAGCGCCAAGGTGCGTCAGTGCGCCAAGATCGCTCAGGGCGGCGCGTTTGGCGGCAGCAAGACTGGGGAGCGCTTTGCGGAGGTACAAGCAGGCAGTGGGGCGGGCCTGGGGTGGGGTGGCTGGTGGTCTTGGGGATGATCATATCGGTAAAATGTTGGTAAAACAATAATCGAAGGAAGTTTAGAAATCAAACTTCCAACAATATGGACAGATGGAAAAGCAGAGGTGGGAAGAGTCAGAGAAGAGAGAAGATCAGAGAAGAGAAAGTCTCAGAAGAAAGAAGATTCAGGAGCGCGAAAAGGTAGGAAAGTCGCGAAACACTGTGTTTTCCAATGATTTGCGGCTCCGGAGGGTCGAAAAGTAGGCTCGCTAAAGCGGCGGGTGCGGAGCCATCTGGCCAGATGAGAGATGAAAAGTTGCACGCCGTTGTGGCGCGAAACACTTCATGTTCGGACAACTTTATGTGATGTCGAAAAAAAGAACGCCGTTGTGGCGCGAAGTACATTTCGAAGTCAAAACGTACAAAACACACCAACGTCGGACCACTTTTGGAAGTTGAGATGTCGAAAAAGAGCACGCCGTTGTGGCGGGAAGAACGTTTCCCAGGCAAAAGTGTTAAAAACTGACGGTCTCGGAGCACTTTTGGAAGTTGACATGTCGAAAAAGTGCACGCCGTTGTGGCGCGAAGCACTTTCAAAGTCAACATGTTAAAAGCACCACAGTTCGGACCACTTTTGGACGTTCGGATGTCATTTCGCGTGGCAGGCGCAAGGGATTGTGCATGTTGTCAAAAGCGAGAAAAACGTGAGGGTTTTGTAGCATTTCCAAAAACAATGGCAGGCGTGGGACATTTGAAGAGGATCTGTACAGATGGATTTCGCGTGGCATGCGCAATACAAGAGACACGTTCATCAGAGATGCTAGGGTTGCATTTTGGAGCATCAGATCTTCAGGTTTGCGAAGATGATTAGATGATTTTGCGTCACAGGCGCAGCACTTTGTATGACTTGGCATCACTTTTTCGTGGCAGGTGCAGTACTTTAGACAGATGGAGTGGAAAAATCGCAAAACGCATTGGTACGAGGCCGTCAGCTCTGCACTCAACTTTCCATTTTTGAAGGAAGTCTCGCAGAATTGCTTCGTTTTCGATGTTGTCAAGTTCAAAAATTGAGGAAGTCTCGCAGAATTGCTGCGTTTTTGACGTTGCTAAATTCTAAAATTGAGGAAGTCTCGCAGACTTGCTTCGTTTTTGATGTTATTGTCAGCTTGAAAAAAATTAGGAAGTCTCGCAGAATAGCTTCGTTTTCAAGCCTGCAGATAGATTGATAGATAGGCAACTACAACTACAACTACGCCACACTACTACTACAGCTACAAATACAACATACACATTACACTACAAATTGCACTAGACTAATTGCACTGCAGTACGCTACGACCGTTACGACTGCAGCTACAACTACCACTGCATTACACTACACTACACTAGACTACACTACACTACCCTAATTACATTGAACTACAACTACAACTGCACTACTTTACACTACACTACACTAGAGTACACTACACTATACCACACTACAGTACACATCACTACGGTACACTAGACTACACTAATTACACCACACCACAACCACAAGTACAACTGCAACTACACCTACACTACACTAATTGCACTACAACTACAACTGCGTGACATCACACTACATCCAGTAGTTTTGCTGAGGTGACCACTGCAACCACTGCAGCAACTCCAAAAAACACAACTCCAACCACCTTTCGGTCCATCAGTGGATTCTCTCTGCCATCCGTGATTCACAACAACCAACCTCTTTTATAGGTTTCCTATTTTTGAAACTTCCGCCACCGCCTTGTGCGGTAGCTGGTAAACTATCCATATTTTGATGTTTTTTTTCTAGTTTATACCACCCATTTAAGCATGGTGGACTTGGAGATGGTCCATCTTCTTTCTTGACTAAGATTATATATTTACAGTGGGGGCAAAGAATGGAATAGCGGGAATATAAGAGTGATATAATGGATAATGGTGATATACCCTCCGGCGTCCTCAAACATGGCTGGCAATCAGAAATTCCCGAATGGAATGGAAGTGTGTGACTGGGAAAATGATCCAACTAAATAGGGGATCTTCCAGCACGTCATGTTCATCCGAGGTGATCCCAGTTCATCCGAGTTCGGAATCACCAAGTTGGTAAACACAACCCCCTTTAAAAACATCTTTTTTGAACAGCTGGACGGCGTTCTTATTAAAAACATTTTTTTCGATGCACCAAAAACGGTTTTGCGCAGTCTAAGATGATTTTATCCAGGGCATGACTGCATCAACAGTGTCTTGTGCAGCATGAAGTGATGCACCAAAATGGGTTTATTAAAAACTCTTTTTTAAGACCCCTTGCAGCGGCCGTTACTGAGGCTGAAACATACTAATTATACTGGACTACAGGGACATCTCCCTCGTGGAGAGTGTGCCTCTACTGTGACATCTCCTGCCAGTGCTGAGAAAAGGGACGCAGCGTTTTCTTCTCCCACTACACTGAGTATATGGCATATCTCCACTTATATATATATATATATATTCATATATGTATATGGGATCATACACTTTCCGTGTGGGATGCACGTCCAAGTATACATACATTATATTGATGAATGCCCTTTGTTGGTACAGTTTCCAGGTCCAACAAGAATCTGTTTGAGGAGTGTCGTATGAAATTGACGTGGTCCAACATTTTCGTTCGGGCATGGCTCAAGATGGACACGACATGTCGTCATTTTAAAAAAATTGAGCCTCCGGCCTCCAATTCTTGGATTCAGGGGTTTTGCGCCCAAACCATGTCAGGAGTTGAAGCAGATTGATGTCAACCCCGGATTAATGAACCTTTAGGATCCTTTAGGCTGTTCAGTTGTGGGGGAGTACGCTTTGAGTAGCAGATGAATTCATTATTTCGGGGGGTACTCCATAATTAATCAACTAGGGTTTATTCATCCGGGGTTGACATTTTTTTGCACCTCGCTATGTTGCATGAAAGTCATTGAAAATCTTGTTTTCAAGACATTGAGCCAGCATTGACTATGGCAAATGTTAGTGACATTGCATATCCGTGTCATGCACGTCTTCGACATTTTGACGGCAAAGCCTTATCATTTATAATTATCACGTTATCCTGTCGATATCAGCTGATGAATAGTAAGTTCAGGTTCAACCAGAAATTTTATTGCCTCCAGGCCTTCTGACTTTACAAAGTCCAAAGCCATCCTTTTCTTTTCTGGACAAACTGCTGGTCAAGGCACACACACATATATTAATAGAATATTTATTTTTGAATATATATATATAATATATGATTTATTGAAAATATCATAAATATTATATAATATATATAAAATATAGAAACATAAATAATATATAGCATATAGATTTAAAAAAATATAGAAAACATATTTAATATATAGAATATTTATAAGATATGTAAATGTAGAAAATATGAGGTTAAAAATAATAAATATAGTATAATAAATATTATATAATAAGTATAATATAATAAATATAATATAAAAAATATATTAGAATATACAAAATATATAGTATATATAATATATATCCCAATGACCTTCATGCTTGTTTTCGAGGGGGGACCTACGAAAAAAAATATTTCAGTAATTTATGTATATATATATATATTTATTTTTTTAAATAATTTTTAATATATTTTTATATATTTATTTATATATTTTTGTAATTTTTGTATATTTTTATAGTATTATATTATATTATAATATATTATAGTTTAACATATATTAAGAAAAGATAATAATATTTTCTGGGGTAATCATCCAATTTGATGGGGCTTAATGGGGCTTATTTGATATTGTGCGCCTGTCCGGCGCCCGCTGCAGGTTCCAGGGGATAGTGAACCTTGAAACATTTGGACATGCATTGACCCGGACACCACAAAACATCACAAAACTCCTACTTGGACATCATTGGACATCAAGAGGACCAACTTGGAATATGTTTTATTTTAATCTATTTTACATATGGCAAGTTGAGCCCTAAGATAGATCAATATATATCAATATCGCTGAATCGAAGAAAAAATAACATGCAACATGTGACATGCAAAAGCCTGGAGAGCAGCCATGAGCAGCAATGGGCTGGCTGGTGACGAAGAAGTGTAGCTGGAGCAGCAATCGCGTGGACTGCGGTTTGTGCTGCATTCAGCGCAAAGAGAGCAAGATCAGAGATTTTTTTCATGTCTTCATGTCTTCATGTCATTCTAATTCATTCTATGCTTGGAAGATTTTCCCAGAAATGTCCAAAATGCGCAGTCTCAGATGATCATGATGTATGGTTGCTGTCAGTCAGAACACCACCTCACAACCAGAATCCCAACATATCAAAGCCCCTGCCACTGAGACTACTGGCATCATCCCGCGCATAAGAAGACCTTAGAGTCGTGGGCCAAAGCGAACAATGTGGCGAAGAACTTGGGCCTGCCATCGCCACCTTCTCGCACTGATGTTGCATCGACCTGGTTTTCCACTTGAGCAGACTTGAGCAGGTAGGTCCAAACGTAAACATTTTTGAGATTTTTTGAGTTCATTGAAAATATATGAAAATATGACAGGATGGGATCATAGGTAGGGCCATGTAGGGCTTGACCGGGTTCCCCCTGATCTCCATTGATTTCGAAATATTCCCTTTTTGCTCTTTCTGGGGGCCAGTTGTAGGAATATGTAGGAATTGCTAGGTCTGTTTTGGCGATTTTTGCTCAACATCATGCTTGTCTATCCTTCTGTCATGTTATCAGTTATCAGTGGTAACTTCATGTGAGTCAGGTACATCGACTACGAAACTGTCCAGATCGAACTGCAGTTCCCTTTGTGGATTCTTGGTGGAAGAGGCTAATGTGGCAAGCAGGTTGATGACCAGAGGAGACCCAAGAAATTGTTATGCAATGTTATGCATGGTTTTTCCTCACCAATGGTAAGCTTTCAAACCATTTGAGTGAATGTCAATTCCATGTCGGCCAACATGCGGCCACTCTCAAATACCTCCACAGGCATAGGCATGGTAGAGCATTCTGAAAGCAGAAAGAATATGAAAGGATAAATATTATGAAGACGTCCGTAACATGTATATATATATAATATTATATTATTATTTATATATAATTAATTTTAATCATAATCTAATATTATATTTAATATACTATAATATACTATAATATTTTATAGATGTATAATTTATAATATTATATAATATTATATAATATCATATAATATTATATATACATATCAATATTCTCTGGAATGCATTGTGCGGATGATGTTTGCACTTATAAGAACATATAAGAACAACAGCCTTGATAATGAAGGCCCAGCATCATGAGCGCTGCGTTCTCCGATTCGTTTCTTTGATTCGATTTACCCATGGGAACTAGCCAATACTAGCCATTGAGTCAGAGCTGCATCTATCCCTTGGCATTAGACAACCCTGTGACACTGACAGATGTGCTCTTGAGCTTTAGCCACTTGAGGTGCTGTATCCTGCCTTCTTCATGTATTTTCTTCATCGTGTTTTATCATAAACCAAAGCATTCACACAAATATGCACACACTAATCTGAATGAAACATTCAATGACATGTTTCGACATGTTTCGACTGCGACTCAATTGCAACATCAACTCAGGAAACACAGAGGGTGCCACCTGATGCCTCTGCTATGGGAGATGTGCAGGTGCAATATTTCTGACGTGTTGTTTGTCAGAGTCATGGTTTGCAACGGATGTTTTCGTTTTTTTATTTGTTTTTAAATAAATGTAGGTGCTAAAACTGGCATATAATGTTGAGTATTTATATGATTTTATATGAACTCGTTTACTTAGAATTAAAGTGGAATACCACGAACTTAGAAACTTCCACCACCAACGTTGGTTTTAGTCCAAACGCTCCCGGTTTTATGAAGGAATAACTATTATTGTCTGTTTTCTACTGATGATATCATGCAACCTCATGCGTACTTTCCAGCAATCTTGACTTGGATACCCATTCAAAAGGTAGGTGTGGCAAAGGCAATTTCCATGATGCCAACAGGATGCTGTCTACAGACGCGCCCTCCACTGCAAAACCGCTGCCTGAAGAGGCAATGGTTATAGGGGATGTCACACGATGTCAGGGGATGTCAGGAGAGCAGTGCAGGAACCACCTTTTCCAGAGAGAATCTTGCATCCAATGCAATTCAACTCCATGAAAAGGCAATAGCAATTTTAGATATAGAATGAGTCAGATGAACATGTTCCTCATTTCGTTGTGTTGTGCACTCTGAATGATTATCATAGCCTGTTTTCTATTGACTATATCATGCATCATCATGCATCATCATGCATAACTTCCAGCAATCTTGACTCGGATGCCCATTCACAAGGTAGGTGTGGCAAAGGCAATTTCCATGATGCCAGCAGGATGCTCCGTCTACAGACGCGCCCTCCACTGCAAAACCGCTGCCTGAAGAGGCAATGGTTATAGGGGATGTCACAGGATGTCAGGGGATGTCAGGGGAGCAGTGCAGGAACCACCTTTTCCAGAGAGAATCTTGCATCCAATGCAATTCAACTCCATGAAAAGGCAATAACAAATATAGATATAGAATGAGTCAGATGAACATTTTTCCTCATTTCGTTGTGTTGTGCACCCTGAATGATTATCATAGTCTGTTTTCTATTGACTATATCATGCATCATCATGCATCATCACGCGTACCTTCCAGCAATCTTGACTTGGATGCCCATTCAAAAGGTAGGTGTGGCAAAGGCAATTTCCATGATGCCAACAGGATGCTCCGTCTACAGACGCGCCCTCCACTGCAAAACCGCTGCCTGAAGAGGCAATGGTTATAGGGGATGTCACGGGATGTCAGGGGATGTCAGGGGAGCAGTGCAGGAACCACCTTTTCCAGAGAGAATCTTGCATCCAATGCAATTCAACTCCATGAAAAGGCAATAGCAAATATAGATATAGAATGAGTCAGATGAACATTTTTCCTCATTTCGTTGTGTTGTGCACTCTGAATGATTATCATAGTCTGTTTTCTATTGACTATATCATGCATCATCATGCATCATCATGCATAACTTCCAGCAATCTTGACTTGGATGCCCATTCAAAAGGTAGGTGTGGCAAAGGCAATTTCCATGATGCCAACAGGATGCTCCGTCTACAGACGCGCCCTCCACTGCAAAACCGCTGCCTGAAGAGGCAATGGTTATAGGGGATGTCACGTATATAATTATATAAATATATAATATAAACTAATATAGTATTATATAATATGATTAATTATATATATAATATTTTAATATTATATAATATATTGTAATATTTTAAAATATTATATATATATAGAGATGATTAAAGATGATTATATATGTAATGTGATGTCATTATCAAGGATTAGATGATGTCGTGCACCTATGCCCTGATATGCTCTGTAGAGGTCACCAACAGCTGCTTGGCAGCAGGATTCAGCCAAAGATGTCATGGCAGCGCTATTGCCAAAACATGCCAAATCTATTCCCGAAATATTCCGAAATGGTCTTGCTGCAGCCATCTGCAGATATCTGCAGCCAAAGCAGGAAAGGGTATGGGACAGCACAGGTTGTTCAATGGCACACAACAGGACAAGTATGAACACAATTGAACACTTGCTGACTGCCTTGGCAGGGCTGAAAATGTTTGAATCTGCTTACTGTGCGCGTAAGTCCATTTGGCATGTCTTGACATGTCTTGACACATGTTCTCATGTAATCTCATGTAAAACCATCCTTGTTGCCATAGATGTTGCCATATTGGTTGACATAGGTTGACACTTGTTCAAATCTGTTCAAATATGATCACATATCTGCAAACGAAACATGGACTTCTTCGACTACATTTGATATAATTTTATTACATTTGCAACGTATTGAGATGTCACAGGATTTCACGAGGATGCCTAGCCATGCCCATACCCAGGGAACTAAAATCAAAATAAATCAGAGAAGGTCAACCGCGCACGGGTTGCGCAATAATGATCAATAATGTGCTATACAAAGAACCGCTGCTACTGCATGCTACTGCTCATGATCCAAAACGCATCAAAGCTCCCAACGGCCAATCAATGACTGGATCAATCGATGGTCATCGCCAAAAGGCCTTTCTGAGCAGCCTGCAAAACAACAGAAAAACATCAGAAAACAATTGCAGCCAGCAGTAAAAAATGTTCTTGGTATGGTTTGGCAATGCTTGACAACAAAAGTCAAGACTCAAGATTCTATCTCCAATATTCTCCAATCTTCTCCATATTGTATTCATGATTATACATGTACTTCTAACAAATCTTCTAACGTACCCCTATCGCACCTCTAACATCCTTCTGCCATGCCTCTTAAGTTCCTTTGGCCCATTTGACCCATGGCGTGGCTTCATAATGCTTGATAATGCTTCATATTGCAGGGGTTTACTGTAGAGCTACGATGCAGGTGCTGGCAGAGCTACGGTAAAGGTACGGTAGAGGTACGATAGAGAAGGAAAACTCTACCGTACCTCTACCGCACCTCTACCGTTATGCATGATTTTACATGTACTTCTAACGTAGCCCTATCGCATCTCTAACATCCTTCTGCCATGCCTCTTAGGTTCCTTTGGCCCATTTGGCCCATGGCGTTGCTTCATAATGCTTGATAATGCATGATAATGCTTCACATTTCACTGTTCGCAATTTGGGGTGTAGATTCGTTAGGTTTAGATCCGCATAGATCCGCTACCTTTCAAATCTCAAAAAATCCCAAAAAATCCCAGAAGTTCATGTCTGATATCACGATATATCACCAAGAGGCAGTAATGAGGCAAAAGAAAAATGCAGGCATGAACGGTTCTTTCCTATGAAAGCAGTGCGATTTTTTTGGGGACAAGCCGTTGATTGAAACAATGGCAACCAATCTAATGACAAGTGATCCCTGTCAGTTGAAACTGACGATTGAGGGTTCTGAACGATTCTGAACGTAGTAGCAGGCATGACCTTGGCTCAATTGACATTGACCTTAAGCCCATGCAACAATAGACACTGGCAACAGCAATGCCAAGTAATGACAACTTTCGCACCTGTATATGCGAGATTGTGCAAGCACATCACTCCTTTTAGACGCTTGTTGGCCCATTGTGAGACATTTTGCATTTTGAGCAACTTTGAACAATTTTGAGCAAATTTGAGCAACTTTGAACAATTTTGAGCATTTTTTAGCAATTTCAGGCAGTTTTTTCGGGCCTGTTTGGGTCATCTTGGAAAAAGTGAGCATTTTTGTCGGGCAAGTGTCGGTCATGTCGAGCAATTCTGAACAATTTTTGGAAGCACGATATGGCATTGTTGACCATGGACAATGTTCAAAATGTCTCAAATGAGGCTGCTTTGAGACATCTTACTTTGGCTGAAAAAGGTAGCTGATTACCCCACGGATCTAGACCCTAAAACATCCTACAACGAGATCAGTGAATATTGCAGGGGTATACTGTAGAGCTACGATGCAGGTGCCGTACCTCCGTACCTCTACTGTACCTCCCCCCTGCTTCTGCAATATTCTTCAATCTTCTCCATATTGTATACATGACTATACATGTGCTTCTAACAAATTTTCTAACGTACCCCTATCGCACCTCTAACATCCTTCTGCCATGCCTCTTAAGTTCCTTTTGCCCATTTGGCCCATGGCGTGGCTTCATAATGCTTGATAATGCTTCATATTGCAGGGGTATACTGTAGAGCTACGATGCAGGTGCTGGCAGAGCTACGGTAAAGGTACGGTAGAGGTACGATAGAGAAGGAAAACTCTACCGTACCTCTACCGTACCTCTACCGCACCTCTACCGTTATGCATGATTTTACATGTACTTCTAACGTAGCCCTATCGCATCTCTAACATCCTTCTGCCATGCCTCTTAGGTTCTTCTACCATACCTCCACTGTACCTCTGTCTATCGTACCTCTGTGACCCTCTATGTACGCATGTTCCCTATGGAAATGGCAATTTGGGGGGCTTACACCATTGTCATCCAATGTCATCCATTTTCAAACAAACCAATGTGCATGTGCTGAAGGTCATTTTGGGATGGTTTCCCCAAGTTGGTTTTTCTGCAGGCCTTTCTTCAGGGCAACCAACAAGGACTCCATCTTCTCGCTGCCCAACATGGAATCTGCCACCAGAATATCCATGAATATCCTACTGGGAGGATCTGGTAGCGATCTATCGTTCTACCAACCCGAGGACATGGAAACATAGGGAGACATAGCAAGATGGGGTCATGGTGGAATGGGATTGCTGGGAATGGCATTGGATTGCCAGCACCAACTTTCCACCATAGATTTTAAAGCATTTTAAAGCTAAGTGAAATGCAAAATGCTTCACATTGAAATTCACCGTTAAGTGATGATTTGTCATGATTCGTCGAAGTCCATTAATGACCATTGATTTTTTAGTTGATGGCTAAATAATATTAAAATATATTAAATAATGACGATAAGAATTGATGGTTAACTAAATTGAGGCGATCCTGATGAAGTACAAATACGGACAATACCAATCGCTGTAGCCCCTGCAATGGAAAAGAGTCATATTAAAACATATTAATACATATTAAAACATATTAAAAGATATTAAAACAATGCCAAGCATTGCCAGGCCATCAAGTGCTGCATGTGTGCTAGTGATTGCTAGTGCAATCTATCGCATGCTGGCATGCAGCGCTAAGCAAGGCATTTTTCCGGCCCAAACTCCCCTGGTCCCTTGATCCACTGCGCGCCCATGGGGATGCTTCAGCGGTGCATTGTACCTTATCACAGCGCATACCTCGTCTGAACTCAGGTTGCACCTGAGGAACGCAGGGAGTCCATGCCGCCCTGGAAGCATAGTGTGTGCCACCACCGTGAACACAAGATCAGCTGGGGAAACACCTGCCATCGTTGCTGCTTCAGGCTGCACAAAGCCACTGGGCCAGTCTGCAGGTTTTGGGCAACGAACCCATGGGCAAACAATCCTGCAGAGCTGCACGTGAGCCAGCGGCACAACTTCTGAACTTTAAACCTCTCAGATGTGAGGATGTGAGCAGTGCCGTCTCTGTGAGGCACGACGGACCTTTCTGGCACCACTTTCAGCAGCCAGCGAATGAACAGGGCTTCAAAGAAGTCGCACCTGGACAGTGGATGACAGTGGGTTGCAACTAGCTTTAGACTCTCAAGATTGATGTCAACTCATGTCAACTCCACATGCATTTGCCAGCTCACCCCATGAGCCATGCAAGATTTCAACCAAAAATCTGCTCTGTGCAACTGTCATTCCATGTTTTTCCATGCCATCCCATAATCTGCTATGTTTTTTAATGATGTTGAACAATGTCGAACATAATTGAGCGATGCGAAAAGATGCGAAAAGAACGTGATCACGACATATATCGACATATCACGACACATCATGACATATCATGACATTATATGACTCATGATTCATGACCCACAGTGTTTCCACCAGATTCCACCAGCTTCCACACAGGGGCCACAGCAGCTTCTCATGTGCTTCCACAGACAAACAGCTAGGAGCTTTTCTGCCATCAGTACCAAAATCAGCGAAGCCACCAGGAACAGGCCATGGTAGTTCATTGCCAGCTGCGAAGTGCCTGAGAAGAGTAAGGTATGAGTCGGCATCTTGTGGGTGGTACTTCGTGATCCAGTTGGCTGGGGTATCAAAATACTTTCGTGCTTCGCAAAGTAAAGACTGCACGCACTGACATCCAACTAAAGCTGCCCAAGCTGGCCCCACATGAGCAACAGCAATCTGCTGCAGCGATTGCGCCAAAAAGACAAGGGCATTATGCTGAGGCTGGCAGGGTCCGATTGATGTGGTCAGAACGGATGGAAGGTCAAAGGATATAGGACGGAAGAAAATTGGAAATAATGACATATGGCAACATTGTTGAACTCCAATAATATCATCATATTCATCTAGACTGAAATATCCAACAATGACATCAGCAAAGCACAATTTCGGCTGATTGCCACAAACAGACAAAAATGTGACATGTCACACGTATTCAAACAATTTCAGGCATATCATGCAATATATTGCAATATCACAGAGTATCATGCGATATCATGCGCGCATACCTGTGTTCAGAACGTTTTTGGCTAATTTTGGCTAGCTTTGGCTGAGAAGTCATGAGAAGTCTCCATGGGCAACCTATGGGAACCCAACTTCAAGTCACGTTAAACATTTCGAACATGCACCATCATGCACCCACACGATGCCGCATGGATCAGCAATGATCAGCATGGTAAACGTATGATAACATATGATGTAACAGTCGCGGGGGTGTCTAGATGAAATTAGACGAATTTACCTCTGCAATGCTGGAACTTAAGTAGTTGCGACTTTACATGAACGAATGATGAGTAATGATGAAAGCAAGGAATGGCAAGGAAACTGGCTTTGATTTTGACTTGTCATTGCAAGTCACTTTGAACACTTTGGATCGGTATTAGACTGAAAAAATGGTTGGCAAGGCTGCTTCCGTATTATGTAATCCTTTTGTAAACTGACATAAACTGACAACACAGTCCACGGCCGTACATGGCGGTACGACAGCTGAAGTGCCATACAGAGAAAGGTTTGGAACGCTCCCAGCAAGAAATAGGCAACACCATATAGCACAAAACCCCACCATGATTTGAACATATTTGAACCCTGGTTGTTTTACCATGTTTTACCATGTTTTACCATGATTTACCCCCTTCCCCCTCCACAATGTTACTTTGGGAAAGGATGGGAAGGGGATGGAGTTACCCGCGCTTATGGGTGCCACCCGTAAGAACGGGTAATTGTTTGGTAGAGCGGGTGGATTCAATTTTAAAGGAAAATCTATACATACGGCTGCCCTACCCGCGGCAGTGAATGCTTCCCCGCGCTTATGGGTGCCGTCCATAAGAGCGGGTAATCCTGGGGCGCCAGATGTGTCCATCCAGCAAGGATATGGACTGGATGTGTCCCCAGGATCACCCGCTCTTATGGACGGCACCCATAAGCGCGGGGGAGCATTCACTGCCGCGGGTAGGGCAGCCGTATGTATAGATTTTCCTTTAAAATTGAATCCACCCGCTCTACCAAACAATTACCCGTTCTTACGGGTGGCACCCATAAGCGCGGGTAACTCCATCCCCTTCCCATCCTTTCCCAAAGTAACATTGTGGAGGGGGGAGGGGGTAAATCATGGTAAAACATGGTAAAACATGGTAAAACATGGTAAAACATGGTAAAACAACCAGGGTTCAAATATGTTCAAATCATGGTGGGGTTTTGTGCTCCTTGTGGTTCTGGTGCCATGGTGACTGTCTGGGTTTCAGTTTTGGGGCTTCCATTCCAGTAGTGCTATAATGTGCTATATGGTGTTGCCTATTCTTGCTGGGAGCGTTCCAAACCTTTCTCTGTATGGCACTTCAGCTGTCGTACCGCCATGTACGGCCGTGGACTGTGTTGTCAGTTTATGTCAGTTTACAAAAGGATTACATAATACGGAAGCAGCCTTGCCAACCAGCTGAAAAAATCTCACCTCCCTTCACTCAACTCTACCTTTCGTTCATCCCTGGTTGCCTTCAAGTTTCCTGGGGTCTTTCATCCTGCCAGGGTGCAACATCACACGTGAGGATTCCAACAGTGTGGATACATGTGAACACACAATATATCACAATATCACATTGTTTGGCCAGCCTTGGAAACGTTAAACGCCGCCAGCAGCTTGCCAGGTGGATGCGTCTGAGTACCGGGCCTTTGCAGAGCATGTGCACGTGATGGATGTGAAAGGTCCTCCAGCTGAGGGCTACTACAAGCGGCTGAAGGAACTCGTGCTTGATCAGGCCAATTCCTCTGAAGCTGAAGTCATTCGCCTGGACCAAGTGACTTGTGACCTTTCTCCTGGTGACGGACGGTGGCGTTGGGTCACACGAGAAACGATCCTGCACAAGTTCGAGCTATGGTCGGCTGGTGGGGCAAACTGGGGACCAACAATCCAGCTCTGTGGATCAGCCCCTTATAGCATTTGCATTGGGCACCAGAGGATTGGGAGCGTCCACTGCTACATGCAATGGTGTTTCTTGGCGAAACATGGCGAAACCATAACAATATCCACCCAATGTGATGTGATTTTGGAATATTCACGGTCGCTTCACAGCGAAAACCGCCCGCATCAAGTGCAATAGATAACACTCACATATGTTGGAGGATGTTTGGCCATGTTTGGCATTTTTTTTTAGCACTTATTGGGCACTTTTTAGCGGCTATCTTGGCCCCATATGAGGGTATGTTGGATCCATTTGAGGCTATGATCTTAAGCTCATGTTGGGCCTATGTTGAGCCTATCTTGACCCATTTTTGGCCTATAGTGGCCCAGATCAAGAATTTTGACCCCTTTTGAAAAACATGGAAAAACAGGGTTCCAGAGCAAAAATGCAACCCCCCAAGCCAAAGCTTATTAGCTATAATGCAATTGCTAACGGTTCACGCAGGCACACAAAAAAACGCCTCGGCACCTTCAGTGCGAGCGGATTTTGGATGATTTTGACATGTACCACTGAGCATGGCTTCTGTTCAGCCAGACATGAAATGATGCTGTCTCTATATGTCTCTATTCTAGTTTATGAGAAACCTTCCATGTCCAATGCATCCATGGGCGTGTCAGGCTACTTGACTCAGCGCACCCCTGCAGATTGGGCAAAAACCATGGCCAAGGCAATCCCTTGCAAGCTGGAGTCGTTGCAGCCAAAGCAGGCAGATACATACTACTACATCATACTACTACTACTACTACAACTACTACAACTACTACAACTACTACTACTACTACTACAACAACAACTACTACTACTACTACTACAACAACAACAACTACTACTACTACTACTGCCTCTTGGTGATATATGGTGATATCAGACATGAACTTCTGGGATTTTTTGGGATTTTTTGAGATTTGAAAGGTAGCGGATCTATGCGGATCTAAACCTAACGAATCTACACCCCAAATTGCGAACAGTGAAATATGAAGCATTATCATGCATTATCAAGCATTATGAAGCAACGCCATGGGCCAAATGGGCCAAAGGAACCTAAGAGGCATGGCAGAAGGATGTTAGAGATGCGATAGGGCTACGTTAGAAGTACATGTAAAATCATGCATAACGGTAGAGGTGCGGTAGAGGTGCGGTAGAGGTACGGTAGAGGTACGGTAGAGTTTTCCTTCTCTACCGTACCTCTACCGTACCTTTACCGTACCTCTGCCAGCACCTGCGTCGTAGCTCTACAGTATACCCCTGCAATATGAAGCATTATCAAACATTATGAAGCCACGCCATGGGTCAAATGGGCCAAAGGAACTTAAGAGGCATGGCAGAAGGATGTTAGAGGTGCGATAGGGGTACGTTAGAAGATTTGTTAGAAGTACATGTATAATCATGTATACAATATGGAGAAGATTGGAGAATATTGGAGATAGAATCTTGAGTCTTGACTTTTGTTTGCCAACCTGAAGCGCCAGGTACGATAGACAGAGGTACAGTGGAGGTATGGTAGAGGAACCTAAGAGGCATGGCAGAAGGATGTTAGAGGTGCGATAGGGCTACGTTAGAGATCGTTAGAGTACATGTAAAATCATGCATAACGGTAGAGGTACGGTAGAGGTACGGTAGAGGTACGGTAGAGGTACGGTAGAGGTATCTACCTCTACCGTACCTCTACCATACCTCTACCGTACCTCTACCGTACCTCTACCGTACCTTTACCGTACCTCTGCCAGCACCTGCATCGTAGCTCTACAGTATACCCCTGCAATATGAAGCATTATCAAACATTATGAAGCCACGCCATGGGTCAAATGGGCCAAAGGAACTTAAGAGGCATGGCAGAAGGATGTTAGAGGTGCGATAGGGGTACGTTAGAAGATTTGTTAGAAGTACATGTATAATCATGTATACAATATGGAGAAGATTGGAGAATATTGGAGATAGAATCTTGAGTCTTGATTTTTGTTTGCCAACCTGAAGCACCAGGACGTCGTGGTAGTTGGAGCGCTGCACCCAGAACACTTGCACAGGCTCGGCATGGCATGGAACAGTGGGTATGACATGGTATGACATGGGATGACTTCACCGACATTTAATCAGCAGCCTCTCATTATGATATATTTTTCTGATGAAAACACGCAAAAAAAACAAACACATGTTCATCGTAGGATCTTTTTGGTTCAAGACATTTCAACACATTTCAAGACTGGCTCATCGAAATGTCGAATTTTCTGCCTCCACTGGAACCGGAAGAAGAGTCTTGAATGCACCGAAGCGTTTTCAACATTTTTCAACAAGGCCATGGCTATGTCCCATTATGTTCCAACTACTGAATCTGCAAGCTGCAGTGCTGTCAGGCTCCGAGGGCATAGAAGGAAAATTATGGATGTCCATCCTGCAAAGAATATTAGATAGTATATGATATATTATGATATCATATTAGCATCAATCAGATGCATCAGGTGATCATGTAAGATTGTTTGACATTATATGTATCGCATATTGTAGGACAGCAATTCAACGCACTCCAATGACTGCAACACAGCAGATCGATCTGCCATCATTGTGGTTCGACTCAGTTCGACATGCCCCGGTCCCGATATGCTACCAACAAAGAGGCGGGATTGAAACGACCTGCCAGCAGCTACGCTCTGTTCTGCCGCTGGCTTGCCAAAGTTGGCGTTGATGTCAATCCCCGTAGAGTTAGGCATCGCATCAATGGGAAGAGGCATTGCAATTCTGCCAAGTCCGCGCAAGCGTTGTGGTAGCTCTGGAGCGTTTCAGAACCTTTATATCGACGTTTACGTTTTCCACCTATCTTTCCACTTCAAACCACCAATGTCATTGTATGATATTGTATGATGTTGTAATATGTTGTAATATGTTGTAATAAATTATGTGGACATGTAAAGACCTCTATGGCATTGTGTTGGGAGTGTCAAGATGTGTCAAGATATGTCAAGATAATTTCATGTTTTTCAGTCATGCAGTATCATCATGTATCATACACTTAGTTGCAAGGTTTCCGCTCCTTTACTGTAATTCTTCCTGGTGTTCCTTGTATCATCTTGTGTCAAACTGCACTTTTGACTTGCAAATGTGCTTCACGCCTAAGCCATGTGCACATTTTGAACATCGGCGCGCAAAAGTGTTCTGGCGCTGCTGTGTTTTCAATTGGTTTCACACTTTGGATTTGCAAATGTGCGTCCCACCATGTGCTTGGTGCCTAGGCCGCATGCACTTTTTGAACATCTCATCGTGCAAAAGTGTTCCAGGGATTTCCAGGGCTGGTGTGGCTTTGATTGTTTTTGCGTTTTTGACTTGCGACTGTGCTTCACGCCTAGGCCGCGTGCACTTTTTGCTTCCTGTCCTCCAGACATCCCCAGACAGCCCTCCAAATCCACCACTTTAGCGAGCCTACCTTCTGGACCCGCCAGAGCGCAAATGTGCTGTGAAACATATTGTTTCACGACTTCTAACATTTCGCTCAAGCGTATCTTCTCTCTTCTTATCTTCTCTCTTTTGATCTGTTCTCTTCTTATCTGCTGATCTTCTCCCTGGTGAGCGAGTATGATTTGTCCATAAGTCGGAAGTTTCACAGTTTCACCTCTAAACTTCCTTTGATCATATTTGATCATATCATATCACAGCATGTCGCAGTCACGCCTCCTAAAGACAAAGACAATTTAATTTGTCAGTATTTGTGGCAATGCAACATTCATGGTTACGAGGTTTCATGGGCTCACAACTGCAATCAACTGCAGGCAAAAACGGCCTGACCTTCGAAGCCACTTTGCCAAACTCGCCCAGCAAAATGTCCAAAAAAATGAAGAAGCCCGGAATGCCTTCCTTCAAGGAGTGCAAGCCCAGCCTGCAGTGATGACCCCATGCTCTAATGCTGAAAAGGCAAAGCCAGAAGCCAATGGCTTCCTTCTCAATGGAGTGCGTTTGCATATAAATACTGTGTTAGGGCAAGGCACCTATGGTGCGGTATGGAAGTGTACACTTGATGGGTTGGCTTTGGAGTTTGCTTTGAAGTTATACAAATGCAATCAAGCAGGGTATGCTTTGGTCGAGGCTGGCAAGGAGTTTCAATTTTTTCGGGACCTGCGCGGCTCTCCATTTGTATTGGATTGCTACGGAGCTGTCGCCAATAGCAATGGGAACACTGGCTTGCTTCTTCCATTGGCATCAATGTCTTTGGCGAATCTCCTTCAGAAAAAAGATCACCCAACACCAGCTATCCCAACTATTACCCAGTTGCTGTGTGGCCTAGTTCATTTGTGTGAGCGAGAAGTTCTGCATTGTGATTTGAAGCCATCCAATATATTGGCTATGCCTGATGGCCGCTTCGTGATCACTGACTTTGGCTTGGCCAAGCGGCTCCATGGTGGGCGTGTGACAACCCATGGGAATTTTTGTTACAGTATGCCTTACCGGCCTGTGGAGGCATTAGCTGCTGGAAAAGACCAGGCTGGCCCATGCCCATATCAAAAGCTTGTCCAGTTGAACAAACTTGAACATAGTTGCTTCTTGTGTCCCTGATTATCTATCTACAGCTATCTTATAAATTCTTATAATATATTATATTATATTATATTTTAATATCTTATACCCTTGTCTCGAACTATTTCAGGATTCATTGAGAGATCCTTGGACATGTGTTTGGTGATGTTGGGATTGAGATGGGCTGAGATTGTGCTTGTGTGATGATTGCAAATAATTTGGAAGCTTTATAGGGCTTCCATGTAGCGCCATGCAACAAATTGCAATAATATATGTTTATTATATATACAGTAATTCCCTTTCGACATTTTATATTATGATTCAATGTGATTATATAATATTATATATTTTTATAATTATAACTGATTATATATATATAGATAATTAATGATGATTATAATATTATATTTAATTATATGTTTGACATTTTATGACCATATTCAGAGAATGTCAGATATTCTCAAACCATCTCATACAATCTCATACATTCTCAGACTATGCAAGATATTTGTAAGATCAGTTCGTGTCATTGCACCTGTATTGTATCATATTGTGGAAGGGTTCTGTACATCCCAGTGTGGTCAGACGATATGAGACGATTGCAGGTCATCCTGTCAGATTGCGCAGATGTCTGGATCTGGGCAAAGGAGTGCAAAAAATGGATAAAAAATGGGGCATCAGGCTGCGTTGGGTTTGATATGAATAGAATTGATTCGATACCTCTTGAAGACGCAAAGCCATGATAACTTGTGTAGATCGATTTCGACTCAATGTATATCGATTGCCAATGTATATCAGATGTCAATTTTGAGGGAATGTTTTTGGAATATATCAACATATATCAAAATGTACCAACAAATCCATCATGATATATCATGATATCACGTGGCCTGCAAAGAGATTCAGTTGGTGCCTGCAAGTAAGTGAAAAACATCTTGGATAGCATCGCTTCCAGTCCCTCTTCATACCCTTTCAAACTTGTATAGATGTTTTTGTTTTTTTGTTTGGCTTGACTTTCTCATACACGTCCATACAATCCCATAATACCCCATATATTCCCTAGTGTTTTGGTTCTTTGTTTGCACTGTTTGATACATTTTGATACTGCGTGGCGCAAGTTGTGAAAGTTGTTCCACATTATACAACATTCACTTTACATTGACACACTCTATGAAATATGTTTCAGACGGACTCCTGATACCTCATGCAATATTATCATAATTTATCATATACTATTCAATCTGTAGCATTTGTTTGCATCTTGATGCAGCATGATGCAGCTACTATTAGCATCTATTAGCATCTATCAGCTGGAGGTCTGTTTGCCATTGTTTTCCCACGTTTTCTATTGTGTTTTCTGATTTCGGGCTTCTAGCATCTTCCAGCTGGCAATGGTTTGGGAAAGCCTGGCGGCAGGGAATGGGAGCGCGAAGATTTCTCACTGCGCTGGCAATTTTTTCATGCAGCTGGCTTTGGCAATGCCTTTGGATTGAAAGCATGATGCCTGATAGCTGGGCTTGCTCTGAGGGGCAACAGGCCAGGAGTACGAGAACTTGGGCTTTGGTTTCCTTCTCTGGCGGTTTGGCTTGATGTTGCTCAGGCAGTCTAAGGCATATTGATAGGATATAATCCTTTCTCTAATACTAAAAGGCACCCCTCTCCTAATAAATGAATGTAGAAGCCAGTTGGAATGTAGAGATTGGACATGGCATCAGGTATCATCAGGTAACCTATGAGGTTCAACACCGAGGTATCTGAATGATTCGTGCTGATTCCAATGGTTCCATGTGTATCGGCATATCAGTGGTTAGCTGTGTTGGCTAGGCAATATAATATATGAATATTTTTAGTGATTTATCCATATTTATCCTGCACAGCTTGGCCATGGCAGAGGATTTGCCGGATGCCTCCTTCGCTGAGCAGCAGGCGACCCTCTGGTGGGATTGTGGAATGGCATGGTTGGGTTGAGTCAAAATGGGTATTTCCATAAGGTTGGGGTATCCAACAATTCAGAAAAATGTCATTTTAAAGATAGAATAATATGGAAACATAGGTAAACCATGGTAAACCATGATGATGATGATGATGACGACGATGATGGTGATGATGCTGATGATGTTGTTGTTGATGATGATGATGCTGATGGGTGCAGTGATGATGGTGATGTTCGGTCGTCATGATGATGGTGATGTTCTTTGTGTTGTTGTTGAATTTTGTTATGTATGTAGTCATTTAATGTCATTTATCCAGCTCAAACTCGGCCCAGTTTCCTTTAGAATTTGTTTGGTTGCTTGTCGAAGCGGTTTTTAGCTTTGAGAATCTTTGAGAAGCATGCAGAGTTTTTGGCACCGCTCAGTTTTGGAGAGATCACCACCTGGTGCATCAAAGAAGGGTGTCTTCCTTTTCCTTTTTGGAATCCAAGTACTCAGCAATGGGATTTGAAAACCTATCAGTCGTTGATTTTGAAGCCTACTTTGGCCTCGATGATTCAGATTGTTCGGACCGTGTTTGCTAAAAGTCTTCAAGTTTTGGGCTTGGATCACTATTTACTTTAGAAACATCCAGAAGCATGAAGCCGGTGTGAAGTTGTCTGCAGATGGCATTGCCATTTGTACAAATCAAATTCATCTCAGCAACTTATTCTGATTCCGGGCATAGCTAAATGCAACCTAGGGACATGATTCAAACTTTGCAACAACTTCAAAACATGATGCATCTGAGCCGCTGTGCCATTGGGATTTGACACCTGGGGTAACTGCTGTCTGTCCTGGGGTGACTCGGTGTGCCTTGCGGTTGGGGTAACATGGGGTAACTACTGGGTAGATGGGGTATGATGGGGTAACTAAGGGCACCCGCTTGTAAAGCTTGCTATACCATAATATACCTAGTTTGAGGTGTTGAGAAACTTGGTGGAATCCACATGATTCCACTAAGTCCTTGATTTTCGGGACTCTTCAAAAGGGATAACAAAGAAATACAAAGAATACCTTAGGCTCCAGCTATGAAAGGCATTTTATATATTTTAATATATTTTAATATATGTTAAAATCATTCAAAATCTACCTGGGATCCATGTCAGCCTGGCACCCAGCCTGCCCAACAGGCTGCTTCCTGGACCAGATGCTCCACAGCAACGTGTGAAGGCCTTTGCGGCAGAAGTTGACAGCGCTGCCTTGCCCTTGTTGCGTCTGTCTGCATAGGGCCATGTTTTTCTATGTTTTTCTTAGTCAATCTCACTCATCGAATAGCACCAGGGCAGCCAATGATGTGCCATGATACATCATGTATCACCATATATCACCATATTACATCATGATATTTCCAAACAGCTCAGATGCACGATCATGGCAGCTCATCAGTTTTTTAAATTTCCAAGATGGGCGTGGCAACAAGCTGCCCATGTGGGGACTCTTGGGGGGACTTTCCGAAGAAGGAAAAAAAGTTGAGCGAGATGAGACATGATCATGTTCCACTTGAGTGCAGGTCTTGGATTTTTACCTTGTTCATCCTTTTTACCATGGATTTCACTATAAGTTTCTGGATGCCGGAAGGATGATTTAGAGGGGGGGACCCTGAAAAGAAATATTTTTTTTCACTAGGTCCTCCTAGCATAAATCTTGGGGATTAATATATTATATATCATATATTATATATATAATATATATTATATATCTTTAATATATATATATATATATTATTTATAATATAATATTTATATTTATATAATATACAATAATATATATATATATATTATCACATTGATAATGCATAATATATAATATCTATATATTATATCCATAATATATTATACCCATAATATATTGTTCACTTAATATATATTTATTTACAATGTATATTTAATATAGTAGATATTATACATATTATTTTTTCGATAATATATATATATATCTCATCTTTTCAATAATTGTAATACATATATACTGTAATAGTATGCAATATAAATTTCATTCATATTATTTTTTAAATTGGTATAATATGTTTTTTTTGAAATATATTATTGAGATATTTTATTTTTTTAAATATATATATATATAGTATTTTTGTATATGTATATAATATATTGACGTATCTACATTATTTAATTATTTTTTTACTTATATATAAATATTTATAGATTTGTAATTCTTAATTATTTTCATATTTTTTTTTAAAAGCGTCTATGGTTTTGATCAACACCATTACAATTTAAGGACATACGTCCGTGTGCATCCCAGTCAGTTTAAGTGGTTTACAACAAGTACCTATGTGGTATTTCATGTGGTTATACTCACTTACAATGCCTGGGATGTACCCCCAAGTACATGATGTTGATCAAATTGATAGGTACCTAAACCTAAACTACATACAGGGTCAAAAATCATGGATCCTATCTGGCATGGACATGCCAAAAAAAGGTAACCTCAAACAATAGAAACATGATCTGTCAATATCTATCGCGATCTATCTCTGTTTTAGCAACCTCTCAAAATTTAACACTGTTTATCATATATTTATCAATGATTTATCATTGTAAAGTACTGTCAAGATAGCCTGTGATCATGTGAAAAATATCGAACAGCTAAGATGTTATCAGATGATATTTGATATTTATCCATATGTATCCCTATGTTTGGTAGGAATTGCGAACAACTATCCTGATAAATCATGAGCTATCTTTGGGGGATAGCTTGCTATCCCATCTGTTTATAGGATACTTTTGTCACAAAAATACATATACGCTGTTAAAAGATGAGCATATTAAATATCTATCCCGTCTATCCCTATTTGTCCTTACTATCTATCAATATCAATATTACTACCACCGAACCCGGTATCCATTACTATCAACACCTATCCATCAATAGTATCATTTATAAGCTATCAATAGCTATGTGAAATTTCCAAAGGGTAAATTCCCCCCCAAAAACCATTGGAATCCACAAGTTTTTCTCCATTTGATCCTATTTAACCAGCATTTTTACCACTATAGTCACTATAGCTCTAAAACCCCATGTTGGTTTCCAACCTCTAAACATTCTCCATCAATCATCATACAATCCCATTAAATCACCATTAATTACCATAAACTCACTATTTATCAGCTATCGGACACGATTTATAGTATACAGGCGTATACAGCTGCAAAATATTTTATCACTATTCTGATGAATACAGTTCATAACACTTTTATACCAGTATGTTCATCAGATAGATACTATCAGATATATTACCAGGTGTATACTAGTTATTACTATTTTCCATAGTGATATGGTCCATTTTTCTGATCAATATAATATATATAAATTTAGTCTTATCAGACCTATCAGATTTTATTATTATATGGAGCATACCTTTCTGATTTCATACCTTTCTGACCACTATCAGATTTTACTATCCATGTTCCATTGATTCCATGATTCCACTACTAATCATGGATAAAATCTGATTATTAATGGATATTTATTTCATTACTATCCATGTTCCATTTTTGGTGGCCTTGCTATAAGGGCACCATGTGAAGCGCCAGGTGACCGGCGTGCGGCTTCGTCGCCAGGACCCGCCCTGGCACATCAGGAGGCCAAGGTGCACACCGGGAGTTCCGAGGCTTTCGTATTGGGAATATCACCGAAGAAATGGAGGTTTTAATGGGAAAATCATGGAAAACTTTGGAAAATCATGGAAAATCTATATACTGGAAATGAAAATTTTAATTGGAACATGTTTTATAAATGGAGGTTTTACCCTTTGGTTATTTAACATAGCGAACTGGAGAATTAGCAGTTAGCATTTATAATGTATTTTCATAGGACAATCATGAAACATGATTTATACTATAAATGGGCAATTTTCCGTTGCTATGTTAGATAACCAGAGGGTAACTATACTTAAGTTTTTTTATTTGAGTTTTTAATCAGATTAATCAGATCTAGTTCTTATCCCGTTCTTATCCCATTTTTTGACAAAGAAGTGAATGATTTTGATGTTCCTGAATATGTGAGTTGATTTCAATCAAGTAGAAATCACATTTGTTTGATTTGGGTTTTGGTTGGTGGACCTCCACATTGACATGTTGTTTTGCCTAGGCTTCATGTAATCCTGAGATTCTGCTTCATCATCAACACCTGCATTTTGTTGACTCCCGTTCTTATTCGCTAAGATCCCGACATGTCCACGAAAATCAGGAGAATGAGTTGGATTATCCACATGCCATTCTTGGCGGATTCCCATGGCATGGGATGTAAGCCGCACAATGAATCCTGATTTGTCTGGATTGATTGATTTTTGGTTTCACCATGGGTTTACCACATCTTTTTGTATATTTACCCCAGGGCAACCCAAGTACTCAATGCCACAATATGTCTTCATATTGCCTTATGCCTTATGCCTTATTACGATTACCAGTTGTTATTACTATATGGTCCTTACTACTAATTATGATATGATATGATATGGTATGATATGGTATGATATGGTATGGTATGGTTTGATATGATATGATATGACACACACAGACACACACACACATATATATATATGCGTGATGCATCAAAAACCATGGTTAGTTACCCACTGTGGGTATCTTTAGATACACACACAGCTCCAAGTCAGGCCTCTGGCGATGCTACCGGAGGAGCCTTCAGGTCCCAAGCACCGCAAAGACCCGCGGCCGGAGAAGCCGCGGGGTCGGCCGGGGAGGCGAGCGGTTGACCCGAGGAACGAACTTGGGATCTGATCTCAGGGAAAACTATGGAAAACCCATTGGATTTCACTTGGATATGGCCATGATATACTTGTTAAGCTTGTTAAGCTTGTTAAGCTTGTTGGCGGTTTCAAATTTAATGTTCCATCTTCCGTTTGCATCGTTTCGTTGATGGGTGCACCAAGGAGCCTCAATCATAATAAGTAGGCTTTTGAACCCATCCTCCGCCATAAACCATGTTAGCATAAGTTAGCTACATCAATTGTTATACTGCCTATGTGCATATGAAAATGTATCCAATGATGTGTATATATATATACAATTGCATCCTGCTGTGCATCCATGGAACCCTTGATTTGTTGTTTTTCTGCCTCTAGTTGTTTCATTTCAGGATTTTGTTGTTACACCCATGCATCCTCATATTGTTGGCTATATATCCCCACTAAATCCCCTTTGATTTGATCAATTGGCTGCCCCCGTTTTTTTAATCCAGATTGCTCAAAGCCATTCTAGGCAAATTATAGCCACAAGGCGTATTTTTTCCGAACTTTAATTCACCAATCTTCACCTGGGGATACCCTCCTGTAAACTAACATAGATGTGGAAAACCCACTGTTTGTAGATCATTTTCCTAGGGAAACCATGGTTTTCCACATCTTTTTGTAGGTTTACCGTGTGAATAGCTGGGGTGCTGGTTGTGCAACCCCGACTTTCAGGCGAGGCCAGGGCCCGGCACTTATGATGTGCTCAGCCAGCCGGACTACCGGAAGGGCTGGAGGCGGGGTACAAGCTGAAGAGGTACAGGGTGGCGGTGTTCCAGTTGTGTTTGTTGGTTTATGGCTGCCATTAGCTGCTGTATAGAAGGCTATAGATCTAGTTGTTATGATTATCTAGAATAATAATGATATTGCAGCTATGTTTGCCAACTCAGCGATTCAAACAATGTTGTTTCACTTAAATCAATGTAAAACTTCAGTGTGACTTCAACATGCTCATTTCAAATTTATCGTTCTTAAACAATTTTAATGTTGATCACTAATTTCCTCCTTTTCTGCCAGCTGCCCATCTTTTCTATTGCCCCATTTGCAACTTGGATGTACCTATTTGATCCTATTTGTAGACGTCGTATGGTTGTGATCCACTCAAGTCCCCATATTATAGTTGGTTTATATTCCCATTCTATCGCCATTTTCTTTGTTAAACCATATTAAATAAACCTCCATTTTCGTTGGCTGATATCCAAATGTCCCCATGGCATCAACACAATCCCATTATATCCCCGGTTTTGTTGGTCGAAACCTCCGTCCCTCATTGTTATATGGATCACCCAGTGTTATCCACAAATTCTACTATATGTTGGCCACAATATCCCCACAAAATCCCATTAGACAGCAATTTTTCGTTGTTATTTTTGGATGGCTTGAAATCCTTCACTTTTTGGACCGCCATATTTTCCAATTTTATATCCCCATTTTATCCCCATGATTCTTGATGACACCTCTATTTTCCCATCAAATCAGCCATATCACGATAATCCCATGAAATCCTCATTTAATAGCAAGATCTTCATTCATGTTGTTTGCCCATTCTATCGACAATTTCTTAGCTTCAACCATGTGAAACCTCCATAACCTCCATATTTTCCCATACCATGCATCTTTCCCATGATTTTCCCATGATTTTCCCGTGATTTCCCATGATTTTCCCATGGAAATCGGCCACGAAAAAGATCCGCGTCAGGATCGCCAAGACGGATCACGTGAGCTTCGGCAGCTCCGCGCAGCGCTTCGGGGACGACAGCAGCGAGGTGCCGCCGCCGGGGGCCTACGACGTGGAGGCCGAGGTCTACCAAGGTGCCGTGGGGAAAGACCATGGGAAAACGATCATGGAGGTTTCAGAAATGATGGTTTAGTACTGTTTGAGAAAGATGGTTTAATGTGACTTAATTTATACGACTTGATCTGGCTTGATACCAAACCTTTTGTGGGTATAGATGCAGGGCAGAAGAATGAATCTGAAATGATCATCTAGTTAATGAATCAACATGGCCTATGAATAGAATATGAAGAACAGAGAATGTACTCAGTTAATGTGAATGCATCAAGACCAAACTGTTGTTCACAATCTATAACACCATCAAAACCTTGAAAGTAGATCAAGTTGATTCTTGTATTTATCACCTTGCAAGGCCCCTGAGCACGACCAGTGCCAGGCTGCTATTCGTTCAAAGCCACGGCGCAGCGTGGCTTGCCAATGCCGAAGGTGACCTCCCAGGGGCTGGACCCGGGGATGTACAACACTGCTGGCAGTCTGCTGCGCAAGTCCTTCAACACGAAGGCATGCCACCGGGCAAGACCCCAGGGGGGGATGGGATTTCTTGTGCCAAGTGGAAGAAATGAGAAACTGAGGAGGAAGAGATGGGAAGTAGAAGTTTGGTCAGTCTTGGGACAGTCAGATGCAGCGAGCCTCTGACTGACTGAGTTTCTGCCCATCTTGTGCCTTTGTTCCAGGTGGAGGAAACAGCATTCTTGCTGCAAATCCACGAGAAAAGGCTTCCTCCCAGAGGCCCCTTTCCTTGGGCCGAAGGTTACTTGACAGGAAGTGCATCGGATCCAGGCCTTGCATTTTTTTTAACAAGCAGTAGTTGAAAGAATGAACCAAACCACTGATCAGTTGATCCATCATCTGTGAATCGTCGTCTTGATTGACTCATTCAATCTCATTTTTCTTGTTCCCTTATGCTGTAATAACCAACGTCCTATTGTTTTCATGTCAGCCCTGGATTTATAAATTTTAGGGAACCCCACTTTTTTATTCAACCAGGGTATATCTTAATCCGGGGTTGACATTACATATGGTTGATCAACATGGTTGTAACACCCGTTTCACCATGATTCCACCATGTTTCGCCTTGAGGTACTTCAGATTGAAACCGTTCCAATGGTTGAAACATGTTGAAACCACCGGTCAGTCTCGCCATGTTCGTTGCTTAAATCCCCCATGAATCACCATAAAGTCCCATGAAATCATCATGACATGCCATTAAATCACAACAGAGTCCCATGAGACACTGCAAAATCCCACTAAATCATCATTGAATCATCATTAAACCGCCGTTTCTTTCTGGTATGTTGCCGTGTTCAGCGAAGCTCAGGTTCCACTTGGCGGCCTCGACAGCTCCTTGCTTTAGAGGTGGGTCTTTGCAGATGGAGCTGGGGAAACCAACAGGATGGAAAACTTCGCTGGTACTTCTTAATCTTTTAATAAAATTTTAATGGAATTCTTGATGGGATATTATGATGATTCATGGTGGTCTATAATGTGGGATTCACCCAATGAGCCTACCATGGGGGATGGGCATTTTCTCCTAAGCAGGATACAAGGCCACGATAGCGGCACATGGGGTCATCACTTTGTTCACGGTGAGGGTAAAACGGGTTCTTGATGGCTTGCAAAGCTGCTGAGATTACCATGAAGTCTTCTTGAATCACGGCCGCATCTCTTAAAAAATGGGATGCACCTTCGAAAACACTTTGATCATCAGAACCTTTCTAAGTAAAACATGCAAAAATCCATCGAAGTCGGAGTTTGGATCTGCCAATCTTCATCCCTCCAATAATTTAACGTAGCAATGGAACATGGCCTCTTTGTAGATGGTTTATCATAGTTTACCAGAAATGGTGGTCTTCCATAGCAAACTCTTAGTTTACTGGATCAGCAAGATTGTTTACTATCCATTATCAATATTACTATCCACAATCAATCTCATTGCTATCTATTACTACTATCAATATCTATCTATCAGCAATATTTATGAGCTATCAATAGCTATGTTATTCCCATATCGCATTCGAATGGTATTCAACCAGCCTTTTTTTCCATGAAATCACCATTAATTACCGTAAAATGACTATCTATCAGCTATCACCAAGCCCCTTCAGCCTTATCACTATTTCCCAGCCGAAGGCCAAGGAGGAACAGCCACCAAATCCTGAAGGCGCCGAGTCCTGAATGGATGTGCGCCGCCGATGACCCCGGGGAAGGGGACCCTGAGATCAAGTTGGTTTAGAAGTTTAGAAGTAAGTGTGGTTCGTGGTTTATGGTCAACAAACCTAATATATGATATATATATATACATATATATATACACGCTTACACACACACACGCATACTTATGTTTATATATATAATATATATATGATTATATATATATATCTTTACTGTGTATATATATATATTGCACATTATCAGTTTTATATGGGTTCATGAACCAACTTATAACTTCGGGAGGCCCTTCCTGCCTCTGCAGATCGAATTTTCTGCAGCCGGGGCACATCGGTTCCAAATTTTCCCAAGTCTGGTAGTTTCAGAAGGCGGTGCCGAAATGTCTCATCCATCCACGAGACTGGCGGTTCAGTTTGTTTCTTTTTTTCTGAGGATTGTGGGGCGGCACTTTTCCTGACTTTTTCTCGTTCTGTTTTAGACTGAGAGGGTGAGAACTGGTGGATTGGTGAGACCGCCGCTGTACCCTAACCTATCTATAACCTCTTTCAGGTCCGACTGACGGGTTTTCCAAGAAAACCCATCCCCCCCGTGTACGAATATCTTCCCAATTGGCTCGGTCACAAGGCCCGGCTGACGGTGACAATGGACCATTTGAACCCCTTGTGCTGTAGGATCACTCGCAGGCTAACTTCGTTGACAGCTAAAGACGCTGATATCAAGATTTCCCACTTTTTGGGCGTTTGTGCTTGGAAGCTTGGGATTAAAAAGAGGCTGCCGAGTCGCAGAGTCGTTTCAGGGAGCCCTTTTGGACCCTGGGCTTATCCACCAACCATTGGAAAGTGTTGAATCTGAAGTACCCTAAGGTGACTGAAACAGGTGAAACAGGTGACGAAACATGAAACAACCAATTTTATCAATCACATGTATCCATATGTCCGGTAAAAATTATGTGTCACCAGCTGTGGCTCAACATCTGCCCTGTCCGCAGCCGCCATGGTTTGGGGCCTCAGTGTGGAGGACCCATGGTCAAAACATGAGTTACTCATGGTCATCAATCCATGTCCATAGGGATTTATGTTTGGATTTTCATGGCATGGGATGACCATGCACAATACACTATGTTTTGACCCCAGCTATTTTGCTGTTCAGGCTGATTCATCAAGGCTATAGGGTTCTGACCCATCCCTGCATTTGAACGTTCAATATGAAAACGCATGGAAACGCATCACGCTTTGAGTAAAAACCAAAGTTGACTATTGAAGCCAAAGCAAACCGACATGTAAATTATAAGGACCTCACGTCGCGATGTCACCGGAATGATGGATTTGGTTTGGTTTAATTATCCCAGTTGACAACAGTTGATAATTATGGTTGACTATAAGTATCAACTGTAGTTGAAATAACAATACTTGTCATTGTAGTAAGTAATAGTAACAACTAATTATCTATATTGATATCAATAAATCAGGAACATGGATATCACTAATAGGTTACAGTAGTACTTTGGCCCTTCATTTGGACCTGTTTCTCGCTTCCACAGGGCAGGGTGTCACTCAGGCGATGGCATACAATGGTTAATAACCTATAGCCTATAGCTATAGCTAAGATTTTCACTTTATCATTAACACGATCATTATCAGCTGGTGAAAAAATAATGGTATATCATATCCTATTAATAATGAAAATGATAGTAATATTAGGATATTATATATCCATTAATAATGGTGGATCATTATATCTGGCATATCCTACAATGGAATAATAACAGTAATAATGCTAGTAACTCTCCATAATTCACCTAGGCTGCGGCCGCTGCGCGTCCCCTTCTGGGTGTTCTGGGCTCCGTGTGCGATGTGACGGCCCAGCCGCTGGAAGCGTTCAGAAGTTACACCAGGGCGGAAAACATTGGGGAAGACCATGGAAAACTCGGGAAGACCTTGGGAAAACATAGGAAAACCGAGGAAATTTCTGGGGATTTGGAAAGCTTGTGGTCATTTTCGACAATTTTGGACAATTTTGCAGGATTCCACCAAGAAAAGCTGATTTCAGCACGAAAACTCGATGTTGACCATTGAAAATTGGGATTTGAATGGAGTGAAGGAGCGAAAATTTGGGATACAAGGATCCAAAATTGGGACCCAAGTAAGCATCAATCAATATTAATCAATCATAATGATGCAACAGTCCACCTGAAACCCATCGAAATGCCGGATTTTTGGATGATTCGCTTCTTGAAAATGGTGGATTTTCCAAGAAGGTAGCACGGGGTGTAGTATGCATTTTTGCAGCTGTTTGGAGGTTCTAAATTGTCTCACACCAGCAAATCTGGGTATTGATACAGTATTAAGTCCTTTACCAGTAGTACCCGCACGAGGCGGGGCGGAAGTTGTCTTAGGGATATACTGATATACTCTAAAACCTTTCTCATCTATAGAACTTGCATGCGCCGTGCGCCAGCCAGGCCCGTGCGTGCGTATGCGTGCTTGCTTTGTGCGAAGCTGTTGCAATGTTGTTGTCCAAGAACATGACCTGCGCACGACCCCGGCGCAATGCAACGCCAAGCAACCACTTTCTTCACACTTCACACTGCACTCTTCACACTTCACACTTGCACTTCGCACTCGACACTTCATCTCATCTCAAATCATGTGAGCTCTTCTCACCTCATCTCAGCTCTTCTCACCTCATCCAGCTCTTCTCACATGTTATCTAAGTAAGTTCTCAACTGTTTTCATCTCATCCGAGCACTAATCAACACTTCTCATCTCCTCGAAGTTCGTCTCAACTCATCTCAGCTGTTCTGCACAACAGAAATCTCTTACTGTCAGAGATAAGTATCTTGGACAAAAAAACGATTGGGCGCTGAACCTTTTGCACACAGAAGCTTGAGACACAGATGCATTTACACAGAAAAGCCTGTAGAATACTTTGTGCTACAAAGCTAGCACAAAGCACTTCCCAGTACTACTTTGTACTACAAAGCTTGCACAAAGCACTTCATAGTACTACTTTGCACTACAAAGCTTGCACAGCACTTCCCAGCTTGCACAAGGCACGTTCCTGTACTACTTTGTACTACAAAGCACAGCTCTTCCCAGTACTACGTTGTACTGCAAAGCTTGCAAAAAGTACTTCCCAGTACTACTTTGTACTACAAAGCTTGCACAAAGCACGTTCCAATACTACTTTGTACTACAAAGCTTGCACAAAGCACTTCCCAGTACTACTTTGTACTACAAAGCTTTCACAAAGCACGTCCCAATACTACGAAGCTTGCACAAAGTCCCAGTACTACTTTGTACTACAAAGCTTGCACAAAATACTTTCCCAGTACTACTTTGTACTAGAACGATTGCACACAACACTTCCGAAAACACATCTAGCTTTGATACACAGCAAGCTTTTCCACAAAGCAAACTTTTACACACAGCAAGCTTTTGCTACACAAAGAACGCATTAACACAGCAAGCCTTTACACTGCAGAAAAGCTTTTACACAAAGAAAGCTTTTACGCACAGAAAACTTTTACACACAGAAAGCATTACGCAAAGCAAGCTTTTACACAAAGACGTTTTTACATAGAGAAATGTTCTGGCTCATAATGACAACAGAAATTGCAGCTCCAGAACCGGATCTCGACGCCAAAGCGAAAAAAAGACGATTTTGAAGCACTTTTTGGAAGGACTTTTTTAAGGAAAATTACTAGCGCCAAAATTGAGAAAATCTCCTGACAAATCATTGTCGCAGCCTTGATGCAGCCACTCCAATACGATTTACGAGATCCAGCTGCACAAGACAATAGTACTACGCTCTCAGCCGCGGCACCAAGCAACCTTGACGCAGCCGCTACAATACGATCTGCTATGCAACATTCATGCAGCCATTACAATGCATTTCGCAGCATCACGTAGCAAACCTGCATCTCTCTACACACATGGCAGCACCAGATGACAACAATCATGTAGCCACTCCAAGGCGATCTGCAACCACAGACTCAAGAAACGCATAGAACTACGCACACAGGAACAACCACTCCTTGCAGAACACAGAGGAGGAACGAATTCGCGGATGAAACGACCGCAGCCGCACCCGCCGCACACAGGAGGTATACCTGCCATCGCCGGCCGAAGCCACTTTACACAGAAAAACACAAGGTTTCGTGCTCCGGCTTCCTCCCCAAAACACACCCCATGCAACATTCATGCAACCGTTACAATGTGTTTCGCAGCATCACGTAGCAAACCTGCATGTCTCTACGCACATGGCAACACCAGATGACAACAATCATGCAGCCATTCCAATGCGATCTGCAACCACAGACTCAAGAAACGCATAGAACTACGCACACAGGAACAACCACTCCTTGCAGAACACAGAGGAGGAACGAATTCGCGGATGAAACGACCGCAGCCGCACCCGCCGCACACAGGAGGTATACCTGTCATCGCCGGCCGAAGCCACTTTACACGGACAAGACAAGGTTTCGTGCTCCGGCTTCCTCCCCAAAACAAAGCCCATGCAACATTCATGCAGCCATTACAATGCGTTTCGCAGCATCACGTAGCAAACCTGCATCTTTCCACACATATGGCAACACCAGATGACAACAATCATGCAGCCATTCCAATGCAATATGCAACCACCGACTCAAGAAACGCATAGAACTACGCACACAGGAACAACCACTCGTTGCAGAACACAGAGGAGGAACGAACCGCAGCCGCACCCGCCGCACACAGGAGGTATTCCTGTCATCGCCGGCCGAAGCCACTTTACACGGAAAAACGCAAGGTTTCGTGCTCCGGCTTCCTCCCCAAAACACACCCCATGCAACATTCATGCAACCGTTACAATACATTTTGCAGCATTCCCTTCACCACCACTCCCTTCGTCACCACTTCCCTTCCTCACCACTTCCCTTTGTCACCACTTCCCTAAGCCTTAGTTACCACTTCCCAAAGTCACCACTTCCCTTCGTCACCACCCTGTGTCATAGCCTATTATTCTTTTGTGATGTATTGTTATGTGATGTCAATTCTCACACCGCCCTTCATCAATGTCAATTCTTTTGTGATGTATTGTGATGTGATGTCAAGTCGCACACCACCCTTCATCAATGTCAATTCTTTTGTGATGTATTGTTATGTGATGTCAAGTCGCACACCACCCTTCATCAATGTCAATTCTTTTGTGATGTATTGCTATGTGATGTCAAGTCGCACACCACCCTCCATCAATGTCAATCCTTTTGTGATGTATTGTTATGTGATGTCAAGTCGCACGCCACCCTTCATCAATGTCAATTCTTTTGTGATGTATTGTTATGTGATGTCAAGTCGCACACCACCCTTCATCAATGTCAATTCTTTTGTGATGTATTGTTATGTGATGTCAAGTCGCACACCACCCTTCATCAATGTCAGTTCTTTTGTGATATATTGTTAGTTGATGTCAAGTCGCACACCACCCTTCATCAATGTCAAGTCTCACAATTCTATTTGTCCGTAACCCGGAAGTATTTCTTCCCAACTTCCTTTGATAATTTAACCAAAATGGGAATCACAAACCACGTTTCAGGAAAACAGAGAGGGAGAGAGAAAGCCTGGAAATGAACCGGCTGGAACCCCAAGGTCAAGTTCCAATCTGGTTGTGGGTCAAAACCGATTATTACTTTGGGGAAATAAACCTCCATGAGCCAGCTATGACTTGGGGTACCATGCACCAAGGGTAGCTGACCGCGAGGCGCGACCTGGCACTGGGGAATGAATGGGATGCCCCTAAGAAAAGTCGATGGATGGTGTCAGATTCTTATTTTTCATGCTCAAGAGTCAAAATTGATTAAGCCGCCATTCTGACCCATCAAATATGGGAATTAACCCTAAAGATTGATCTCCTTGTTTTTTCTTTGAAGGGCAATTCCCAAAATGCTCGAGACAACAATGACCAATTTTTCCAATTAAACTTGTGATACTCCCATGCAACGCCCAGCTGAAAAGGCTTGATTTTTGTTTGGCTCTTTGGGGTGGATGGACATTATCCATGGTTATATTGTGGATTCCCAAGGGGCTGAGGAAAAATAGTGAACACAGACGAGCCACAGTACAGTAAACATGTACTTAATGTACTTGTAGCAACCCAAGTGCAGAAACGTGTTTCAGGGTGCTGTTCAGTCGTTCGCCTCATAGTCTCCAAGGCCAGCTTGAAGTTGGCGTTGTTTCCAATGAATCAGACATGATGAAGTACAGCTGCTTTCATTGGGGGTCAATAGATGTTGGCCAAGCCTCACCCAACAAAAGGAGATCTCATTTTTTGTATGGCTGAAGTTGCCTGGTCAGTTGCGTCCAAAGTTGACTCCCCCAGCTGCTGCAGGTCTCCCGGCAGGGTCAAGTGGCACCAGATTATGAGCGATGGATTCTGCAGGTCCCCAGGGTGGGACAGGTGACCCAAGAACAATTAAGTGGTGCCTCTCACCGGCCAATCATAAGAAGGGGGTGATTAGGGGCTAACCACCCTGGTCCAATTCCAGCACCAGAAGCCTTGACCTCTAAAAATCAGCCCAGTTACGGCAATTTAAGGATGATTCACCAATGGGGCGGCTGGATGCGGCTGGGGGAATTAAACAACAAGCCAGTCCATTGATGCATTTGGATCATTAATCAATTCTCCACATCTTTGTGTGTGTATGTCTGTGTGTGTGGAAAGCCCTGAATCAGTATCAGCAGGGGGCCAGGAACCCACTGTCTGTCCTGGCCAACGAAGACCGAACAGCATGGGGGTGAAAACGTACCTGCAAATTTCTGATTTCGGATGTGGCCAGGTGGCTAAGCCATAAACCACCCTTGCCGACATGACATGGTAACAGAACATGACATGATTTCATTTCATCTCATTTCATCCTCTCCCATCGGGGTGTATCCAAGTGCGTCTTTCATGCACCCGGATCTCTGATAAAGTGCCGGGGAAGCTTGGTGGTGCGTCCACCGGGGATACCAGATTACTTTCAAAATTTCCCAGACATCATGTTGCCAGAAGTAGATTCCGCACAAGCATCCAGACGTTGCATATCAGAATTCTCCAGCAGAAGCGAAGTCTTTCAGAAATCGCCAGATTACATGTTCAGAATTCGCCAGTATACAGATTTTCATCCCCAGATTTCAACGTGTCATCCACCATTCATGTTCACCTAGCAATCATGTCACAACCAGGCACTCAGAGAAACAGCACCATGCCGTTACCATCCTTTTTTGTCGGTCGCTGGTTGCTTGCTGAACAGCCGGAAATTCTAATGCAGTGGTTTGCTTTTGTCAGCCTTCTTCAATGCAAATTGCACTGGACGCCCTGTAACTTCCTTTGGTTTTAAGTTGGAGCAAGCAAAACACCACACCTCATTGGTGACACCCACGGCCCATGTACACAGACATTTGAGCACCACGTTCCATGTCACAACCAAGCACTGAGAGAAACAGCACCATGCCGTTGCCAGCCTTGTTTGCCGGTCGTTGGTTGCTTCTGAACAGCCGGAAACTCTGATGCAGTGGTTTGCTGTTATCAGCCTTTTCCGTGGAACTTGCGCATTTCGGATATGGCCACGTGGCTAAGCCATAAACCACCCTTGCCGACATGACATGGTAACAGAACATGACATGATTTCATTTCATCTCATTTCATCTCATTTCATCCTCTGCCTTCGGGGTGCATCCAAGATCCAAGTGTGTGTGTGTGTGTGGGGCCAAGGGATTTACAAATTTGCAAATCGTTCAGTTTTTCAATTTTAGGGCACGGGGTGCAAGCAGCCCATCCAGTCTTGCACCGAAGACGCTGGATGAAGGCTGGCGATATCTTATCTGACCTTATCAATCAGACGTACCTGCTATGATACCATTTCGAATAGAATTCTATGAGTCACTCACAGCGGCGACCGTACTCAATTGGTCACTTTAAAACACGGCGGCCTATCAGGAGCAATTTCACTAGCAGATATGGGCTCTTGCACAGAAACCTCTGCCCCGCGCAACTCTTTCACAAACAACCCTTTCACACACACACACAGCTCTCTCACCCACAACTTTTTCACGGACAACTCTTGCACACTCACGTCTTCCCCAGCCAACTCTTCCAGCTACATCTCTTTCACGCACATCGCTTCCACCAACAACTCTTTCACACACAACTCTTGCACACATCTCTTCTTTGTTTTTCCTGCATTCTCCATACCGCTTCAATCCCTGTTTTTATTTGTTGGAAGAAGTTGGCTTGTTGGGTGATCGGGTCCTTTAATTTTATCCACTTTTTTTTTCATTGGCGAACCGCCGGATTCTTCATGGTCTCATGGTTAAATCCATCAACATCATGAACCACCCCGTTCTACAGAACTCGAGGCGCTGAACAATGCCAACGGCCCACATTGGATGCCATACCTGGACAGAGAGCCCTTGAAATGCTCCGCGCCTTGGCTCCGGAATGCTTGACCATTGAAGTTGCCATTGTTTTTGGTGTTTCCCAGTGGGGATTCCATGATGGCAACATATGGGAACATCACTTTTACATCGGGAAAAAGGGAGTAACTTAACATAGCTATGGCAGATCACCATTTCATATAGGCAAATAATCTGTAAATGGATTAGTGATTTTCCGTAGCTATGTTAGATTACCAGAGGTTAACTGGCAAGGAAAACATCTTCAAACCCAATTTTCACGATTTTGTACATTTGTTTTGATTTTTTTTTGGTCCCAACCGCCCCAGAACAAGTCACCCCTGCTTTGTTATTTTTATTTTGATTAAAACCTCTCCTCACACAATAATGCAGCAATTTTTCTTGGTTTCCACCGCCCACATGTGTGGGTAAATTAATTACAACGACCTTACCCCGACGCCACTGCAAATGATGATTCGGTATGCAAAAGCTAACC